CTGTGCTGGGGGCGCGGGAAGGGCCTAGGCACCGGAGCTCTTAGGGCCGCGGTGTGGCCGCCTGCCGGGAGCGGGTCCCCGCCGCTCCAGGTTGCGGAGAGCGATGTGGATGATGCCTCGACTGACAGCAGGGATGTTTCCTACAGAGTGAGCCCAAGGGCCGGTTGAAGCAAACTAGTCTGCTTGGCCCAGTTGGCGCTGCCAGAGGCAGCGTGTTGCATCTTTGCCAGGCTCCTGCCATGTGTTACCCAGCACTGGCAGGGCGTTTTCTGAACTAACCTAATACCTTAAGTTCTTGGCTAGACAAGGCCACGCAAGACGCAGAAATCTTCTTGTGTCTCTCTGAAGGCACGTCTGCGCTAGGGGGTGGAAGGAGTGCTTCTGCAACCTGACTATTCATGTACTTGAAAACCCAAGTGCAGCTAAGGCACAATAAAACTGCAGCGTATATTGATTTCAGCCAGGCCTTTTCAAATGCAGTACTGTGTGTTAATGCGCCTCTTTCCCAGCGTAGTTGGAACCCAGCTTGTAGACCGATACCTCTGTAGGCTTGTTAGTTAACCATTTTATTGCTTTGGTTACTGCCTGATGCTTTAATACAGTGATTCTTAACCAGGGAGCTGCAGAGGTGGAGTCTGCGGGATGAGGAGGTTGTCATTTGGCCCCAAGCTGTATTTTATGCGCTAGTCCTGGCATGGGAAGCATTAGAGCTGTCTTTGGATGGTGTTGGGGCAGACTAAGTAGCCCTGCCAAGATTCATCCAGGTGCTGTGCTGTGGCTATATTATTTCAGTTTTGGACACAGCTTACGTGTGCACAGCATGCACAGGTGTCTACAGCATGCTTGTCAAGTGGACCAGGAGGAGGTAGGCTCTGGGACTTTGCACGGCACTGGTAGGTTGTAGCATGTTGGGTTGGGATGGATACGACGGGGCAAATATGGGCTGTGGATGTGAGAGGCTGGGAATCACTTTTCTGACACTTTCATCGGCATTAGTTTGTGTCTTAAGGACAGCAGTTTTATAATAACATAGTAATCAAATATTGTGTTAATATCATATTAACCTAATGGTCACAGTATTTGTTTGTGAGCAGTTCTGTGAGCTGTCTCTTAAGAGTAATGGGCACATCTGTGGCCTTTTAACTTCTGTGACTGTCATCAGAAGAGGTAGACCAAAGAGATGTATCCAAAATGACTAATTTCTAAGAATATAGAGAATGAGATTAAAATCCTTCTCTCTCTCTCTCTCTCTCTCCCTCTCTCTCTCTCTCTCTCTCTCCCTCTCTCTCTCTCAACTATGCATTCTAACACCTTCTTAATTTTGGTACCGTTCATGAGTCATGCTTATAGACTCCCTGGTCCTTGTAACTGTCAAAATATTTTAAATAAAGAAAATTATGTTGAGCCTTAATGTGGGTTTTTTTTGTTTTTTTTCCCTTTAATTTGGAACAGATGATGGTGGAGCTACCCCAGTTCAGGATGAACGGGATTCAGGGTCTGAGGCTGAAGACGATGTAAATGAGCAGCATTCTGGATCAGACAATGGAAGCATAGAGCATCATTCAGAGGTATCAGGGAAATATTTAGTTTGATCAAATGAAACATATCTTTGTAGTTTGGCTTTGAGTGATAGTGGGCTTTACTCTTTTAATGGAGATTGACTTAATGTTGGGTTTAACCAGACTTTAAAACAGCCCTGCAAAACTTTGCTTGCATAGATGGTCAAAGTAAATACACTCTTTACAAGGTGCATCTTTTTAGCGATTATCATAATCACGATTAAAGAATAGATTTCCATTTTTTTTCTTTTGGCTTAGATTAGTAAAATTTTATGAGCTTTTTGCAATGATGTGCTGAACTATATTTGTGGATATCACTTTTTAGCATGGCTGTAAATATTAGGGCTGTGTGAAGCTTAGGTAGCCGACTTCGATTTGGAAGAGATTTGTCCCAATTCAACAGCCAAATCTCTGAATCCGAATCGAATTGGGAGACCCATTAATCTCTCCGAATCAAATTGGAAGCCTCCGAATCGATTCGGAGATTCAGCCATAGACTATACAGGCAGGCACTAGGCAGGAGCAGCTGGACAAGGGAGCCCGCAGCCCCGGGAGAGGCCATGGCTCGTCCTGCTGCCCTGCCCTCCTCCCTCCCCCTGCTGGGGCGAGGCAGGCAGCCTCAGCAGCCTCAGGAGAAGCCACAAAGGCTGAGGGGATTGAACTGGGAGCTGGGGAATGAACAGGGGCTTTCCCCTAGCTCCCAGTTTGTTTCCCCAGCTCCTGGCATAGGTGACGCGTTGGGGGTGGGCATGTGCCCCTTCTGAGACTGGCTGACATCTGTGGGCAGTCACAGCTCGCCACCCCCTTGCCGCCACGGTCGCCTGCAGGTGGTCTCCGCTCGCCACCGCCAACACTTTCACTGCCACCTGCAGGCAGTTGCTGTGTCCCTCCAGCCTCAGGAGGTATGAGTGATTCATGGATCCCTGTTCTATTTCCCCAGTTCCTCCATCATTCCCCCCAGCTGCTGCAGCTTCTCCCAGAGCTGCTGGCTCAAGCTGCGGCTAATCCAGCTGCCCCACCCTGCCAGGGCAAGGCAGGAAGTGCTGGCAGCTCTGGGAGAAGCCACGGGGGCTGGGGGGAATGATTGGGAGCTGGGAGAATGATCAGGGGCTGGGGGAACAACCAGGAGCTTCCCCCCATTTTCCGGTTTGATCCCGTGGCTTCTCCCAAGGCTGCCAGCATTGCCTGCCTTGCTCTGGTGGGGGAGCCACTGGATGAGCCATGGTTTGAGCTGGCAGCCCCGGGAGAAGCCACAGGAGCTGGGGGGAATGATTGGGAGCTGGGGGGAATGATTGGGAGCTGGGGAAATTGAACCGGGAACTGAACTGGGAGCTGGGGGGAAAGCCCCTGTTTGTTTCCCCATTTCGATTCCCCAGCTCCCCGTTTGATTGCCCCCAGCTCCCAATCATTCACCCAACTCCCATGGCTTCTCCTGGGGCTGCCAGCACTACCTGCCTCGCTCCAGCACGGAAGCAGCTGGATGAGCCGCGGTTTCTCCCGGTGCTGCTGGCTCAGGCCAGTGCTCCCCCGGCTGCTCCCACCAGCACTGCCTGCCTGTATAGTCTATGGCCAAATAAGGTTCAGCACCGAATATCCTCAGATTCAGCCGAATCAAATCACTGTTCCTCTGAATCTCTCAGACCTAGTAAATGTGGTTTTTATATTTTAAATGCTGGTTTTCAGGGGTGTGTAGCTGTCCCATAAAGCTTTGTATGCTGATATTTAATCATACAAGGTAGAGGGTCAAAAGGTTTGTTTGTTGTTTTTGGTTTTTTGCATTTTACAATAAATAACAAAAATCTCCTGATCTATTTTTAAGCCTCTGAATAGATGCATTATGCTGCACTGAAGGGAGTGGGGGAGGGAAGTGCATTTATTGTGTATCAACTGCTGCATGATAGCTTAATTTGTCTATGCCTGTCTCATGGTATAGTTCTGTTTTACTCAGTTGTAAGTTGCCCTGTTTTAGCTCTCACTCTACCATGAAGTAGGACTAGACATATGAAATGGTTATCACAGAGCCAATGATGTGGTAATTTCTCCTGCCCCCTCCCTTCTTACTCCCTTGTTTGTATGTCCATATCCTGTGGGGGAGGCATGGGGGAGGTTTGCTGTGTTATGTATGCATTATCATGATTTTCTGTCTGTCAGTGCTTTCACTTTAAAAATAAGCTGCATTGTATTACTTGAAACCCACCAAAGAATCTTTGCTTGTGAAATACAGGTCATCCATGTGAACATTTAGTACAGGTGCCTCTGGGTTACCACTTCTCTCTCCTTTATTTTCTCCTTGGGAGGGCTTCCATAAAGGGTGTTGAGGTGACTGGCTCACGTGTGGGAATGGGGGAGATGCATGCTACAGCTGAAGCTATGTACTTGGGGGGGAAACACTGTCAGGATCCAGAGCAGCTGCAGGAACAGAGCTTCCATGTAGATCCCCTACATTCCCATGCTTGTTTTTCATGGGCTCAGCACTATCCCTTTTCCCCATTCCTGATGGGACAGTGTGAGGGAATTCTCGGCATAGTTTTCCTTGCCAAAATTTCTTCCTGACTTTCAACAAGGAATGGAATGATGTAGGTCTATGAAGCTCTGCCTTTTAATAAACAACCTTTTGACATTCATAATGAAATGGGTTTACTTCAATATGAATAGTTATTTATATGAAATTGGGTTCTGTGATTCAGATGTCAGTGAGGGTTGTGTGCATTATGTTAAAGAACTGTATGAATGATACGATGGCACTGTAACGGACTGAAAGACTTCCTCCTTAACTCTGGGGTGGAATGCCAACCTGGTCTGATTCTGCAGTAAAACTTACTGTGTTTAATTTCTGCATATTATTCAAATGCACAGTGTCTGAAAGAGAAAATGGAACAAATGCCTACTTTAATAATTTGAAGCACAGATCTTTTTAAAGTTGAATTCAAATATAAAATGAAGTGTAGTATGCTTTGTTTGGGAGGGGATGTCTTTGCTTACTGCAGAAGAATCCAGTTCAGAAACTGATCCCTTCATCATTCTTATGGAAGAGTCTTTCTTTGACTCAAGAAGTAGGAGTTGCTTTGTATTCATGCCAAAAACAACCTCTAGTCAACCTTGCTTTAAATAGGTATTTGTTCATTTGAGCTGGAGAGTCCCAGGTAGCCAGATGTAATGTTAGTGACATCACTAACCCTTGGCTACAGAAAGTGGTGTACCTTGTCCACTTCTAACCCAGTGGGCCGCTTAGGCCTAAGTAGACCTTCAACCTCTATAGAGGGGAGGAAGTTTGAGGGCTTGTATAGGAGGAACATTCACATAAATAAAAATTCAAAGTTTTCTGAAAGGGATGGCTCCTGTGAGTGCTGGATGAAGAGCAGATAATGTGTTATTGACTGACTAGTGTTTTTTCCCACTTCTGTCATACTCTAAAAGAATTGCCATTGTGAGCAGGGAAGATAATACTGAAGCCATTAAGCTTTTAATCTGGTATATGAATATTGAATTAATCATTCCAGCTTCTTTATATTCTTGTGGGATGTTTGCATTGCATGTTACATTAAGGCAGGGGTGGGCAAAATGTGGCCTGTGGGCCAGATGTGACCTATCAGGCCATTCTAGGGCCCGTGGGGTCCCTAAAAAATTTAGAAAATTAATATTTAGCTGCCCCTAGCTGCCTGTCATGCGGCCGTCAATAGCTTGCCAAAACTGAGTAAGCGGCCCTCCACCCAAAATAATTGCCCGTCCCTGCATTAAGGTAATTTGAGATCCAGTTTAAGTATGCAAACAGACTTTCTTGTTACTTTGATCATCAGTTTTTAAGCTACCCAATATCATTAAATAACATTAAACATTGTAACGTCAGGCAGCAGCATCCTTAAGTGATCTTGTTAATGTGTGCTGAAGCCTAAGAGTTAAGCATAATGTGGCTGTTTGTATATTCCTTTGTATTTTGAACACAGAAAAATACCTGTCATCTCATTTCAGACAAGACCTCCAGTGCTAGATTTTAAAGCTGAGGCTTTAATATTTGTGTAAAATTAAAAATCACAAATGTATCTTAATATATTTTTCCTGTAGTTTTAATTATTTTTCCTGCAGTGCTGTAATTAGAGATGTAGTTCAAATTGCTACATGCAGCACTCCTGAAAGGAGTGACTTTTGGTGATCTACCTCTTCTTATATCTTATTTTCTTTATCCTTAGGAAAGTGTGGGAGGCATGACATTCAAGGGTAATAAAACCTTTTGAGACAGCCTCATCAGATAAGTCTATTTAATTACTATTTCGTCTCTAAATTAGATTTTTTTTAAAAATGAAGACTGAGGTTTTTAAACTTTCAAACTTTTTTTTTCCCAGGTTCTTAACTTAAAGAAAAGAGGATCCTGAGGATTTACTTATGTAGGTCTCAGGTATGTGGGTTTTTCTTTTCTACAATTCTTTTCTGACTTTCCTTCCCCCAATCCCATTTTATCTATAAATATTTTCCTTGATGTCCTTATCAGCTCTGTTTTAGCCAAATAGAATTAGATAACATACAGTTTTAGTACAGTAATGCATATTAAATTACATTTACAGTGTTTGTACAATTTAGTGCCCAAACCTTATAGTGAGGCCTACATGGAATCTTAAATGAAGTCACTGGGGCTTTGTGTGGTTATAAGGACCCATCCTCATGCATTGTGCCTAAGACCATTAATGAAACCACAACAATTCTTTTCATGTTTTCCTTAATTTAAAAACAAAATCATTTGCCTCATCAACATCTGATATGATTATGTATATTTGCATATAACCGTCACAATTTGTGGGATCATACTAGGTAGCAGACATTTTTCTTCTTGTCTTGGTCCGTTATTGGAGGGGTGGGAAAAACATCTACCTTTAACCAGGGGCTGTGCATTGAGGCAGTAACTTCATTTATTACTGTTTCTGCATATAGAGTTAACACTGTAAGTTTGCTTTTAAAATATTTTACATCCTACTGTACTAAAATCTGTTATGGAATTCTGTTCAGCTAAAAGAAATAATTAAGGACATCTTAATTTAAAAAGTTTATAGATAAAGAGGAGGAAGAAAAGAGAGCAAAGGAATTAGAGAAAAAAGGGATGGGGGGCAGATACCTGAGACCTACCTGCCTTTGAGGATGCCTAAAAGCTTTTCTTTAAACTAAGCATTTGGAAAATAAAAAATAGAAAAAAATCTGCTATTAAATACTTAACTGTCACATAATTTACTTTAGAAAAATATTTAGAGACGAACTGGTAAAAACTGATTATCTTAAACTCTAGATCCCAAGTCTCTTGCTGCAAAAACCCATCCCACCCCATTGCTACATACTTGAAGTATAATGCAACCTCTTAATAGAATACTTATAAATAAAGCCCTTTTTTCTTTTTTTAGCTCATATAATTACTTTGCTTTTCCCTGTGTTTTTACTCAGTAAGTCTTCAATAGGCATTGTATTAAAATAGGGTCCAGAGAACTTGGTCAGGATTGAATACTATGGGGCTGTGCACTCTACAAACAAAATTAAAGATAGTTTTTCACCAAACATTGCACAGGCTAAACAGGGTGTATTCCTTCTTCATTGTTAAGAATGTCCTGGCTCTTGCTGTAGTAATATTTTTGTAGCCAAAAAATTCAAGAGGCACGGTGTATTTAATTCTGTCTTACTGGACCAACTTAGTAGCTGTGGAAGATGTTTAACAAGCTGTTAGGCATGAAACACCATTCGTCAGGTCTTGGAAAGAAGCAGGTGCAGGCTAAGTTAAACACTGTTTGGTACAAATGGTGATGCTTCTACTTGTATTTAGCTTAGGCTGCATCTGCATTTGTGGACTGGAGGGAAGGGCATTTTGTGCCTGGAAGCTTGAATATCTCTTCCAACTATGATGTTCCAGTAAAAGATACCAAATAAATCCTACTTCTGACTCTTACTGTCAGTCTGCTTTAACAATTCCTTGCAGACAGCATTAGAATTTCCGGAGTCTACAATCTGCAACTGCATTTTTATCTATGGCATTCTATTAATATTGCCCTCCAGTGATTTTCTTTAATTTCTTTCGAGTGCTTTCCAAATTACCAAGCTGTTTGTAGCTATTCTTGAAGACAAACCCTACCCAACAGCCAACACTACTGGTCTAACCAAAATGTAGTGTTCTTAATATGTATTCTGGGATAAAATTATTTTTCTTCCTAATTCCATGTTTGCCAAAGGGTTTCTAAAAGGGTCCTGGCAGGTTATGTGGTAATAGAATTAATCCATTAATATTTCCACCTTTTCTGTGGTTTTTCTGCTCTCAGCAAAGTCTCATGCTGCTGTTATTGTGAATATTTCTTATTTTCATGATCAGCAGGTCAGTGAAATATGTAGAGAACAATATTTAAGTTTAGAAAAAAGCTACAGGGCTAGTTCATCAAAAGTTCTCTAATCCTCCTTGGCTATAAACCACACCATCCCAAGGTATGCTTCCTCACAGTAATTACCATAACATTACCAAGCAAAGGTGGTTTTTACCTTCCTCTCTCCTAGAAGCAGCTTTCTTCCTGATCTTCCTCCTAAATACAGTGAGAGAACTCATCAAATGCAGCATTCAACTCTACAGATGTACATTTTCCCAGTATATTGTGGGAGAAAAACCACAAAGTGGAGGGGAATAGAGTCAATGTTATAATTAGCAAACGCCAAACTTGCAGGAGATGTTGACAGGATGGTCTCAGGACTTCTGGTTGTTACCTGCAGGAGGAACTTTTATTTTCATAATTTTGTTTCGGTTCTTACTACCTGTTTTCACTAACTGAGCCCCAGTAGCTTTCTATAGACCAAGAAAAATGGGGGCTACTTAAGATGCTGACACTAAGATCATCATGCATTTCAAATAGCCTTAAACCTTGCAGGGAGAAAGAACCACAATTGGGGAGATTATTAGTCTTGCTTTATAGCACTAGTGAGATTCAGCAACATTAAAATAGTGAAGATAAATTTGATAGCCATGCTTTAAAGTTGTGCAACACTGAGTACCATGTTGTTGCTTCATCCTGTTTGGAGCTGTATTATAATTTAGCAGGTTATAGGTTGCTAATTAGAGATTAAAGCATCACTGAAATCCAAGGTTTAAGACCCTAAACATTCTTGTTTTTGTTAGGTGTTTTGATGATGGGGAAATCTGTTCTTAAAATAGCGTTACACTTTTAAGTTTATGAATATACAAGGGAATGTTAAATAAAACTAGGTATCAGAAGTGTTGTTCACTGTGGTTCTGGTGTAAATGCACTTTGACCGTACGGGCTAAGACTCCGCAATTGATTTTAAAACTGTCTATAGTTCTGCATGATGGGAACAAAAGAGGCATAGAAGAATAGAAGGCTAGATAAAGAATGCCACCTCTGAAAGGAATTTAAATGTACAGCCAAGTGAAAACTTGGGATGCGGGAAAGATGATGCGCACACACTCTTTGAGGTGCCAAAGGAGAGGAGTTGCATTTTTTTGACTTCACTGTATGTTTTGGGAAGGAGTTGGGCTTATTCTGCTGCCAGCAGTTTTAGACACACTGAGCTGTTGAAATGGAAATCCTGGGAATGGAGGACTGAAAGGTCTAATTGTTTTTACAGGAAAAATGTAATATTTACCTCTGCCAGGAGAGTGGATGCTTTCTCTAACAAGAATAAATTAAAAAGTAAGGCATTCTTACCCACATTCATATCTAAAAGTCATCTGCAAAAGTTTTTCTAAAAACTTAGCTTTTTTAAAAAAAATAACTTTTAGACAGATCAGATGTATATTTGCATTAGTTTATAAAAAGAGAATTGTGTTTCTCTTCTGAAGCATCAAGAATATCACCTTTTTTCTTCCCTAATTTTGTTTGTGGACCTTTCGGATGTCTAAGAATGTGTATCAGTAACTCTCAGCTTAAGGGGTTGATGTATTGAATCTCTTTTTTAAAAACAATGTCTTTATTCAAAATGCTGATTACTCAGTAAACCAAAATGTGTAAATAAAATAGTTTGACTAAGAATTGCTTTCTGTTTCAATTAGTGGGATTTCTTTTTTGACATGTCTTTCACAGAGAAACTAGATGCACAGTATGCAGGTTTAAAAAATAATTAAATGAAAGGGCACAAGCCCCAATTTTTCCATTCTTGATGGACTGTAATACAAAGAATATCAGTAACTAAATGCGGAACATATTCCATAGAAAAGTGACTATCTAAAACCAAACTTTTAAAAAACGATTTTTCACAGCCCAGCTTAAAACACCATAAAACTGATTTCCCATCTCTTTCCCCACCCTGCCAGGAAGTGCTGAGCAATGACCTCAAAATAAGGTCCCATAAAGTAGTCTTAAATTTCATTTTTTTCTTCTTTTAAGTCCTGGCTGAAATCTGTGATGGAACAGCTAATGAAAAGTCTCACTGTTTTAGTGTTCTAATGTTGTTTTACTCTTTTAATATTGAATTACTCTGAATCATCTGATAGCATGCTATGGAAAGCTATACCTGTAGAACAGATAGATAGATAGTTTAGTTCCTATTTCTGTTTAAGAAATGTTTTCAGATGGCAACACCCACAAATAAATTAAGGGGAAATGAATTGGAAAACATGAGTCTCCCCTTTAATGTATCTAACCTTTGCCTGGGATTTTCTGTTTTCTAGAATGAGCACAGTGATGGTGAAGATGATGGTCCAACTAGAGAACATCACATGACAGACTCTGAAAATGAAGCTATCTCAAGGCAAAAAGACAGTGATTCAGAAAATGAGGAGCCCTCAAATCACAATGCCAGTGATTCTGAAAATGAAGGGACTCATGGGGGTAAAGACAGTGATTCTGATATTGAGGACCATCCAAATCAGCATGAAAGTGACTCTGAAAATGAGGATGCCATAAATCACCGAGCAAGTGACTCTGAAAATGAAGAACCTCAAAAAGATCACAGTAGTGATTTTGAAAATGAGGAGCCCCCAAAGCAACTGGCCAGTGACTCTGAAAATGAGGAGCCCCCAAAGCAACTGGCCAGTGACTCTGAAAATGAGGAGCCCCCAAAGCAACTAGCCAGTGACTCTGAAAATGAGGAACCTCAAAAAGTTCATACCAGCGACTCTGAGAATGAGGAGCCCCCAAAGCATCTACCCAGTGACTCTGAGAATGAGGAGCCCCCAAAGCATCTAGCCAGTGACTCTGAGAATGAGGAACCTCAAAAAGTTCATGCCAGCGACTCTGAGAATGAGGAGCCCCCAAAGCATCCAGCCAGTGACTCTGAGAATGAAGAGCCCCCAAAACATACAGCCAGTGACTCTGAGAATGAGGATGCTCCCAGACACAAACAAAAAATAGAGTCTGACAGTGATGGAGAGAACAGAAGAGAGGAAGCACAGAATGACTCTCATCATTCAGATAATGAGCAGGCAGGAGAAAGATTTCATGGTTCTGACAGCGAGGAGGAAGGTCCAAAGATACGGAAAATAGCAGACAGTGATGAAGAAGAGAGAGAGGAGGAGAAATCAGTTAAGAGAAAAACAGCTATCCTTTCTGACAGCGAGGATGATGAGAAAACACGTAAGGCAATCCTATGTAAATAGTAAGGTTGACAGTGTAATGACCTTCCTACCTTCGGATGGGTCTCCCTAGAAACCTGGTTTTACCTGGGAATAGTTGTAGCATCATCTTACCAAACCCTTTGCTCTTTGTGTGTTTCTGGATGTATTTAATCACTCCTTAAACCAGGGTTATTTTTAACTTTAGAAGAATGAGTTAGGGACTAATATGTTTTATGCTTCATTAAGAAAACTAAGTTTCCATTACAGGATGTTTACTATTGTTGATACATGAGCTAGAAAAAATCCAGCTTGAATTCCAGGTTCCAAACTAAGTATTTGAGACTGAGAATGGAAGTTAGAATAACATTTATTTCTTGTAAATTAAGCAGCTCAGACAATAAACATGACATTCCACAACGTTGCTCTGTGATCATATCTGCACTTAAAAGACAAAAATTTCATTTCTTTCTAAATTGTTAACATTTAAAAAGTAGCATTTAAGTTCAGTTGAACTTTTAAGAGATCAGAAAAATAAGTTTCTTTGCTATGTATTTGCTTTTTGTGTTTGACAGCATGTCGTTTTAAAGACACATTCATTGTTGTTTCTCTGTAGTCATTGTTATTCTGTGTAGTTTTTAATACAAATGGGAGAGAAACAATTTTGAAAATACAAAATTTGGCACTAAGGGATAGGAATAGTATTTGAGACAGTTGTAACTTACTCCTTGAATTGACTAGATTTTATGATGACAACTTCCTTTTAGAAAAAAACGTCTTACAGGATGCAGGAGGATTTAAAAGCACGGTGAATGTTATGTTTTGTATTAGAGTGCTGATATGGTTAGGAATCAATACAAATCAACTCTAGAAATTTTATTTCAATTAAGAGGTTGCTGTCAAGGACCTAATGAATTTCTACATTTTTTGTAGTGTTTTTTTGTTAAATTTTGAATTTTGGGGCTTTTGGCTACAGGTTAGCCATTGGGGTGGATGATTTGTGACCCTCAGTTATATTGGCCAGTAATAATTTGTTTTCTGTTGGCAGCTGCAAAGAAAGTACGAATCCTGTCAGATGTGGAAGAATCTGACAGTGATACATCAGAGAAATCTGGTAAAGCAAAGAAGAGTGTTGTAGCATCAGATAGTGAAGATGAGGAGGAGGAGAGAAAGGACAGTGCTGGAAAGAAAAAAGAAGAGAAAGATCTATTTGGGAGTGACAGTGAATCAGGGAATGAGCAAGAGTAAGTGCTCCTAAATATGAATTCCTATGGGGCTATAAATAGTGAGATTTTTTTTCTTGAATGAAAATGGATGAGCTTCGGTTACCTTACGAACATCCACTATGGCCTGAAGAGTAGAATCATAGGAAGTACTATAAGGCGGATGATGAAGGATGAATGGACTATAAAGCGGAATAGAAAACTGGCTGGAGCATCGGGCTCAGAGAGTAGTAATTAATGTCTCGATGCCTAGTTGGTATCACGTGGAGTGCCTCCAGTATCCTTATATGCAGCATATTCACCAATGGGCCACCAAAAGTAAAGGAAAACTGAACAGATGTCAATTTCACTCAACCTTTGATGGGAATTACTATCTGCTGAAGGTGCAGGATACGTGGTTTGGAAGTGAAGCGACTAATGGCCTAAAGAATAGTCATAGGAAGGACGGATGAATGGCCTATAAGGTGGCTCAATGTCTAGTTGACAGCTGGTATCAAGTGTAGTGCTCCAGGGGTTGGTCCTGGGGCTGGTTTTGTTCAGTGTATTCATCAGAAAACTGGAAGATGGCATAGAGTGCACCCTCAGCAGGTTTCAGATGACACCAAGGTGTGGGGAGTAGTAGATACGCTGTAAGAAAGGGCTAGGATTCAGAGAGACCTATACAAGTTGGAGGAGTGGGCCAAAAGGAATCTCATGAGGTTCAACAAGGACAAGTTCAAAGTCCTGCACTTAGGACAGAACAATCCCATGCACCGGGACAGGCTGGGGGCTGACTGTCTGGGCAGCAGCTCTGCAGAAAAGGACCTGAGGGTTACAGTGGACAATAAGCTGAATATGAGCCAGCAGTGTGCCCTTGTGGCCAAGAAGGCTAATGGCATACTGGGCTGCATTAGTAGGTGTACTGCCAGTAGGTCAAGGGAAGTGATTATTCCCCTCTATTCAGTACTGGTGAGGCCACAGCTGGAGTACTGTGTTCAGTTTTGGGCCCCCCACTACAGAAAGGATGTGGACAAATTGGAGAGAGTCCAGTGGAGGGCAACAAAAAGGGTGAGGAGGCTGGGGCACATGACTTATGAAGAAAGACTGAGGGAACTGGGCTTATGTAGTCTAGAAAAGAGGAGACTGAGGGGATTTAATAACAGCCTTCAACTACCTGAAGGGGGGTTCGAAAGAGGATGGAGCTAGGCTGTTCTCAGTGATGACGGAACAAGGAGCAACGGTCTCAGGTTAAAACAAGAGAAGTTTAAATATTAGGAGGAATTTTCTCACTAGGAGGTAAAACACTGGAACGTGTTACCCAGAAAGGGGGTGGAAACTCTATCCTTGGAGGTTTTTTAAGACCTGGCTGGACAAATGTTTGGTTGGAATGATCTAGTTGGGGATGGTCCTGTTTTGAGCAGGAGGTTGGTCCCTAACTTCCTATGATTCTAAGGGAAGAAATGGAGAACAGTCTAGTTCTTTCAGATGTTTCAGATATTTGTATTGTTGCTTTAGGAATTTCCTAGCAAATGTGGATCGAGCTATTGCCATGTGCTGTTGAGATGTGTACTACAAATGAAAGAGAATAATAAATAAACTACTACTTTTACAGGAACCTTATTGCAGATATATTTGGAGAATCTGGTGATGAGGAGGAAGAGGAGTTTACAGTAAGTGTGTTGTGAACTTTTGGATGATGAATTGGTAGAATCTTAAAAGCTTACCTATATGTGGAGTTATTTCAGAATAGCCATTCTTTAAATTTATCTGGATACCTTGATCTGGAATCACTTTCATGTATAGGCAAGCCCCAGCTCTTTGTTGGATGCAGTGAGACAGTTTGAATTAAATGGCATTTGTAGTCCTGCTCTTTGGAAAGTAATATCTGTAAAAATTCCTGATGTAGATGAGAAAGTGTTGGCCTAGCTTTAGAAAATAATGTAAAGATGATCTGGAAGAATAAAGCGCATATGCTATGTGAGATAGGAAAATTTGATCAGATACCCAAAATCAACACCCACTGATTTGTATTGCTTTTACTAACAGGGTTTCAACCAGGAAGATTTGGAAGAAGAAAAAGCCGAGGCAGAGATGAAAGAGACAGTAGATGATTCAGACTCCGATGATAATATTAAAAGAGGGAAACAGTAAGTCTTTGGGTTGATAGTGCAGAAAATGAACTTCATTTTTTGCTAAGTGGACCATATGGACTCCTTTCCATGAACACTTGATTTCAGTTGAGAGGCTTCCACGAAGGCTGAAGGGGCTATCTACCAGCGTAGGAAGGTGACAGACCAAATTGTCAAAGTAAACTGAATTCTTACTAGACCACCAGATCAGTTCCCCTCTCTTTTTCTCTTGTTAATCTTTTCTTGCTGGACGATACTGTGGAATAGCTGACTACTCAACCCTAGTTTAAGCAGTTTGGGTGCTGACAGATGTGAAGCCCCCCCAAAACAAACAAACAAACAAAAACAAACCCACCAAAAAAACCCCAGTGCTTTACTGGAAGAGGAAACGCATCAGTTTGACCTAGCTCACCCAACATTTTTATAGATCGTGCACTGCAGTAGGGCTATTTGGCGCTTTTTTCTAATAGCTAATTGAATAAGCTATTAGGTCAAACTGATATGATGCGATGCCTCTTCTGGGCATGCCTTGTGCTCAGTGTGGGGTTGCACAGAGCTGAAATTAAAGTGCTCTTTCCCCTCCCACCTCCCCCCATGTCTGTAAGCAGCCTGTATGAGAATCCCCTCTTGAAGTAGTCTAAGAGTATTTATATGTAACCCATCACCAGTTACACTGAGCGCTAGAACATAGAACAGATCTCTGTAATGCCTCCTTTTGCAAACAGTTCAGGGTTTTTGAGAGAAGAATATGCATAAGATGATTGAAAAACAGAGACAGTCTTGGCAGTCAGGAGACATTAATCCTAGTACAGATTTGGCAGACTTCTGTGATGCCAAGTAAGTGATTTCAGAAAGTCCTTGAATCCCTTTCCCTAGTTTCCCAATCTGTAACTTGGGGATCTGTACCTACCTTAAAGGGATGTTTAGAGGCTTAATGTGTATAGAACACTTGGTGATCGTGGGTGGGATTGTATTATTAAAGTGCAAAAACCTGGTGAAAAAGGTGGGGTATTCTCAGGTGTCTTTCAGCAAACTCTTTCCTTGCATTTCAGTATGGACTTCATGTCAGACTTTGACATGATGCTACAACGGAAGAAAAACCTGAGTGGCAAGCGCAGACGAAACCGTGACGGCGGGACCTTTATTAGTGATGCAGATGATGTAGTCAGTGCCATGATTGTTAAAATGAATGAAGCTGCAGAGGTGAGATTTTTTTTTTATGTTCCAGAGAGATCTGTCAAAATCCACTTCTGCTCCCTGACAAAGTAATTTTTTATTCAGCATAGAATAGAAATCAGTATTGTGTGTTCTGAATATGACTTGTAAACACCTGAAAGTTTCTAATATCTAAAACTACTGTAGTACTGCATCAGAGCATTCTTTCATGTACCCAAATTCAAAAGCTTCTCTTGTGGAACAACTGAATTTTTAACATACATGAAATTGAGTATGTAGTTGCTTATTTTTACAGAAACCTTAATTCCCGTCAGTAGTATCAGCCCTTGGAATACTCACAGTCCATTTTATTTTATTATGATTTTTTGTATGTGCAATGTTCTAGACAAAAGGAAAAGTTTCTAAATTGCAGATGGCATAACTAATGACACCCTCATAGATGGTGGCAGGTTCACATAATTATAGGAAAGAACAAATTCTACAGCATTGTTTATCACGAAAAGCCTGTTATATGTAAAATTTCCTCTGCTGCCCTTTTCATTTTTGACTATTTCTTTAATGTCATACATGTAGTGGAACTAGGTACTGACAAAGTAGACATTAGTGTTATGAAGTTAATCAGAAGTTGTGGGAGAGAATGATAGTATGTTCTTGAATCCAAGATAGGGTTTCCCTCCCCCCACCCCTCCCCTCCCATTTAACATGTTTAACAAGGGGGGGAAAAACATCTTGTCTTGGATTTGAGTACAAGACAGCGGGGGGGCAGGTGGCTGCTCCAGCTCCAAGTTCCCACTCCCTCTCCACTGCCCTGTTGCTTACCCTCTGGTAGGATGCTGGCCCTGCTCCAGCCTGGGGCATGGAGCACATGGTTGCCCCAGCCCAGCCTGGTTGTGGCAAAGTGAATCCCAGAGATCCAGCCTGGGCTCTGGTTTCCAGTTCCAGGGCATGGCTATAGCTGTCATTGTTGCAACCGCTGCTGCAGTGGAACCAGAGCTGTGGTGGAGCCAGTAGAGGCGGGGCACTGGGGATGGGCAGATGCCGGGGGGGGGGATGGGGGGGGCAGGTGCTATGTGGGCAGGCACCTCAAAAGGTAGTAGGCACTAGAGGAGGGAGGAAGAAGGGATAGACAGATAGAGGAAGTGGGGATAGAGGCAGCAGGGGGCAAAGTATTGTGTTGCCTGTGTCTCTCCTGCTCCTCCCCCCATGACCTCTTTCTCCACTGTAGTTGTAGGGTGGAGGGCATGAATCTAAGAGGACCATCCATTAATTGGATTCTACACACAGAAAATGTATATATTTGTTATACTTACACATTTTCCATGTATAGAATTTAATTGGGGGGGGGGGTCGTCTTAAATTCAGGGATTCAAGTAAATACAGTAATGACATGCCATGTGTCTCCCTAAACTTTTAAGTTAAATTAATTCTTTGTATGCATTTCCCATAAGAAAGTATGTATCGTCTCATTTCCCCTTATCTTGATATTTATGCTCTTTATCCATATGTATGTTCTATTATGCTTTTTAATAGAAAAGTTTTATAAATTGGCTGCGTACAATAATTTATAGAAGCTTTTCATTCTTGTTTGTTTTGGGGATTGCAATAAAACTGAAGTACAAAAGTAGATTTCATTTTAATATGAATCTCCTATTTCATTTAGCCATCTTAAAGACTATAAAAGTTTTAAGAATCCCTCAGAAAATCTTTTTTTTAAATGGGTTTTGGGACCATGAGAAGGCAGCTTCTACACAATTAGACTGCTAATCGTTTTGTTGCATATGTCTTAAGAGTTAGGATTTACTGATTTTTTTCCTTTCTCTAGATTGCTTGTTATCAGTAATTTTTTTTTCTTCATGAACTCTCTACAGGAGGATAGACAGCTGAATACTCAGAAGAAACCAGCACTAAAGAAGCTAACTTTGCTACCAACTGTAGTTATGCATCTTAAAAAGTAAGTGCCTGATTCTCCCCAAATTTAATTATTTTTTCTAGAGAGTATTGGGGTTAGAAAACTAGTTATAGTTACACTCCAGGGGTGGTGTGCATGTGTCTTAAAACACTTTATTTTTCCCATTCTGCATGAAGTGCTACAGATAAATGGCAATTAAAATGTTAAGAAATTATTCATGTTTTAATGATTATTTATCTTGAAAGGCATTAATATGTATAACAGGCTGAAAAGCACTTCACAGTATGGCATTTCCACATTTTAATGACTTTCTTGCTCTACCCTTTCAAGTCTGAACTGGAAGACTTTGAACGTCTTTCAGCAGTTCACATGTTTATGTTAAAGCCTAGTTGCACTTTGGAGTGAGCACTGTCTTTATTTCTGTAGCTTATGCCAAAGCACCTAGACTTAGGGGTAAAAGGGTATTGGGAGGGATTGCTTCCACTAAGATAGAAGTCAAAAGTAAAGCCCAAGTTCTGTAAGTGGGCATGTTGGTACAGCAGGGGTATTGAGGTGTTTTCATCATTTGCATTCTCAGTTTGCTGAAGTGGGAACATTGCTGCTCCTGAAACTGACCTACTTTTTATTTTAAAACTTCCAGGCAGGACCTTAAGGAAACTTTCATAGATAGTGGTGTGATGTCCGCTATCAAAGAATGGCTTTCCCCTTTGCCAGATCGGAGTCTACCAGCACTAAAGATACGAGAGGAGCTCTTAAAGATTCTACAAGAGGTTAGAAACGGGTGTTTTACCACTGTCACTGTTTGGTTCACTCTTGTTATTAAAGGACGTACTATGTGGCTTGAGACACATTGTAAATTAATGAAAGGAAAATAAGAATGTTTGTAATTTGCATTTTCAAGCTTCTCAACCTCCCTCACACTCTTAAGTGCTATGGTCCCTATCTGAGTATTCCCACTGAACAGAGGATGTTCTGTCAACCATCTTTTCTGTCTCTCACTGAATGACTCACCAGCTATTATGTTGTAATAGATCATCTTATTTCTTGTTCGGTGTGACCACAAAATGAAAATAGTAGAGAGAGACTTTGTCTAGTAATGAAAAAGTGAACCTTCTCTTACAAACCCATTGTTGGTTAACTACAGTGACTGTGTATAAATTTCCCCAAATTCCAGCCACAGGTATGATGTTCACTTTTGACCACAGTTAAAGTACTTAGACACTAAACTTGCCTTCTGTTGTCTGTGGAATGCCTGATTTGGTCTTCTGTTTCTGCATTTTTTCAGTAGTTGTTTCCCATAATGCCACAGGAGTTATCAATACTCTTTGGTCCAATCTTCTCTTTCTGCAGTATTTTTTAAATTTTTAGGGCCAGTTTGTTCTGTTGGCTACCTCCATAATGACAAGTTTTCTCTTCTCTTCTGCCCCAATGCTAAAATACCAAGGCATGTATTTTGCAAGTGTGGCAGACTACAGATCTAAAACAGATTGATAATGACTTTCAATCGACTTCATACAGGGTAAAAGAAACAAAATTAATTTTAAGGAAAATTATCCACAGTTAACAGACCAAGTGTCTAGATTAGGGGCGGGCAATTATTTCAGGTGGAGGGCCGCTTACTGAGTTTTGGCAAGCCATCAAGGGCTGCATAACAGGCAGCTAGGGGCAGATAAATATTAATTTTCTAAATATTTAGGGACGCTGTGGGCCAGATAGAATGGCCTGGTGGGCTGCATCTGGCCCATGGGTCGCATTTTGCCCACCCCTGGTCTAGATAATGGACAACGACCATCAATTGCTTTGAGAAATCCTGCATTTTCTATGTTTGTCTTTTTAAAAATGTTTTCTGAAATAATTTTCTGGAAATAAGTGGTTGTTTATTATGCTCTTATGAAAATAGCAAGTTGTTACACAACTTGACAATAATACTTATTTTGTTATACCTATTGGTTTGGATTTTTGTTGCCATCTAGCACCAATAATTAAATTGGTTTTGTTTTCCAGCTGCCCAGTGTGAGCCAAGAGACTCTGAAGCATAGTGGGATTGGGCGAGCTGTGATGTACCTCTACAAACATCCAAAGGAATCAAGACCCAACAAAGACATGGCAGGAAAGCTAATAAGTATGTAACCTTTTCCCTGTCTTGCCCATTTTGTATTTTGCTGGCTGGTGTATCTCATTTTATCAACTAACCTCTGCATTGGCCTCTCTTGTGACACATTGATTTCTTGCTGTTTGTAAAGCAAACTGAACCTCTGATGCAAGTGTAATATCTGGGCATCTGTTTCAAATTAACTTTTAAATATACAAGTTGAGACAGGCATTGTTTTATTTAGCTCCTCCTGCAGTTTCCCCTGTTATCTTTCATTCTTGTAAACCACTGTCATTCAGTTTTTATAAGTCCCTGTTGGACCACCACACTTTGTATATATTTCTTTGTGCCATACTGTTTCCTTCCAGGTTTTATAGATGAGCAGCTTTCTAAAAGGATGGCTAAGAAAATTAAAGCACCTTCTGCAAATAGGTGTTAGTGAGAGGGGCATCTTGGAAGGGAGGAACTTGCCTTATAGTGTTAGGTTGGTTTTTAGAAATCTTGTGCTACAGTGTGAAAGACCCTAAAAGTCACAATAATGTGACTTCGCCTGTCAGTTCAGGGATAGCCACAAAAAAACACATGAGTTGTGTTGCTAAAAGTTGTAGTTAGAGCCACTGAAGTTTCCTGCAGGTAAAATATGCTTGGCTAGAGACATGTCCCTTGTGTTGAAATCCTTCAGATGAATGGTCTCGACCTATCTTTGGCCTTACTTCAAACTACAAAGGGATGACTAGAGAGGAGAGGGAGCAGAGAGATTTGGAACAGATGCCCCAGCGAAGGCGATTGAGCAGGTAAGAGTCTGCAGTCATTGAGAACAAAGAAAATATTTCAAATCTGAGACTCCTTTGAGAATACATAAATATGGCAGTTCAGCTTCACTGCTAATGAAACATTAAAGGAAACTGGAGGGCTTTCTAGTTAGTCTTTCTTCTCTCACCTTTGTTGGTTGCTATCTTGTCCTTCTCATAGAGTTTTTCTTTTCTACATTTGAGGCCTGATGCCTGCTCTTTAAGTGTGAAGTTGGATGTATAATACTCATCAGAATTTACCATTACTTCTAATCTATCCAGAACGCTTACCTTTTTCTGAGGCAGACTTCACCAGGATTATTCTTGCCAATTTCACACCAAGGTTAACCACAGTAGTATACTAGTAAATTGTTTTAAAAAAGGTAACCCAAGTTCAACAACAACCAAATGTTACTGCTCATTTCCTTGTCACAGCAATGGGAGATGGTTACAGCTGCATTCCACTTGCGGTGGACTGATTGCCAGTAGATCAAAGGGTGTAAGTCAAGGATTTGTTAATGGTAAATAATCACTCTTCACAACTTTGACACTTGGAACATGTGCAATTGCTTCTTGCATTTTCATTATGTAGCAGTTGGGATCAGAAGCCCCTGATCTTTGTTCTTTCAGGCTCATGGTATTGATCTCTATGTACCTGACTCTGTTCTTTGTCTGTTTTTAAATTGCTAACTTTAGTTAAGGGCTTCACTTGCTAAGGATTATTGGTTTTACTTTTGCAGACCCTTGTATTTGGTTAGGGATCTTTTATTTTAATTTGGTTGGATGTAAACAATTCTACCCTTTAGGTACCTGATGAACATGCATCAAATGTTCTGGATAGGTTGGAAATTGGCTTTTGTGATGACTGATTTTTCATCAAGACTGGCAGTCATAACTGTAACATTCTCCTTTTTCTGTGCAGCTCTGGTGGTCAAACCCCTCGAAGAGATCTGGAGAAAGTGTTAACAGGAGAAGAAAAGTAAGTCCTTATTTCTTTTCTGGTAGTATTCTGGTGAGGATATCCAGGTTGTCTCTGTAGGCTCCCTGCAACTTTTGGATTTTTTTTTTTTTAAAGGAAATGTGGATGATGGAAGTGGTAGTGCTTTGTGGTTTTTAAAGGCAAATTAAAATACAAGTATTTTAAAGAACTGTATTAATTGTGTTCTGGTCTGTATGAGTGACTTCTTTAACAACACACCTGCTTGTTTTTTGCAGGGCTCTTAGACCTGGCGATCCAGGATTTTGCGCTCGTGCAAGGGTTCCAATGCCCTCAAACAAAGACTATGTTGTCAGACCAAAGTGGAATGTAGAAATGGAATCTTCCAGGGTAAGCAGTGTAGTTAAGGGAAGAAGTTAGTCTCATAAGCTGACTGTATATCTAGTCTATGGGATAAGCCTGGGGAATTGGTTTGTCTTTTCATCACTGATGTGTTGCTTTTGCAGTGCACCATTTCATTGCATTATGCCTCTTGTAGCCTGAGGGACTATGGCCTGCTTCCAAGTGGGCTTTGTAAACTCCATCAAATAGTTCTTTCATTCAGGTACCAGGGAATGGAAGTGTATAACTAAGAAGAATCAACTGTTGGTTATCATGGCTAAGGATATGACTGCAAAGCAGTTAGTGTAGACCATCTTGGAGTCTGTCTGCAGTCAGACAAGTCCATCCATGTCTGTTTAGTATTATGTTTTTCCTGTTAGGTCTCCCAAAACTGGAGGGATTCAAATATTTGGTAAGACTGAATATTGTACAAATAAATTAGCCCCATGCATTTCATCTTGGCTCATCCATCTGCCTTGTACCAATTTAATTTGGAGATGTCAGAATCTCCATATGGAAAAATAAAATGAAAGTGGAATAAGTGATCATTAAATTGTACTGTTTCTGCTGTTGTTTTTCCTTCCTTTCATTAATTGAGATATTGTTTCTAGCCCGGGACTATTAAGAGAGGTATTAGTCGTTTGGAAAAGCACAAGAGGCGGTTTGCTGAACAGAAACGACTCAGCAAAGTGCATCGGGCCATCAAGTTCAGCATTGAAGGCAACAGGATGCCCCTGTAGCCATGACACACTGCCTTCCCCAAGTTTGAGAGGTATCCCTCAAGGGAGGTGTGACCAGTGCATGTGCTTCAGCTGTTGGCAGTTTGCACATTCAGTGGAAAAAAACCAACATGTATGAGTAAGAGGATACACGCTGAAAAGCTCTCCTCTTAATCCTTAATGTCTATACAGTGACCTGCTGGGTAACTTGATGCAGGATATAATCTGATGTAACACACAGTTTCTGCCATGGTCCCTGCCACTACAGCTTCTGTATATACTGCTTGCAGGTGCTGTTTAAAAACAGCTACACCCAAATATACCTTTGTGTCTAAGGTTCTAAGTAGTTGGAGAGATGAGCAGATGCAGCATTCTAAAATGGGTTCCCATTTGATTAGAGCCTGCTTTTTTAAATTTAAAACTTGGTACTTATCTAACAAATGACAGAAGCAGCATTCTTAAACTTCAGTTTTGTTCCTTATGTCATTCCATAGTTTCTGGTTGAGGTGTTAGTGGTATGAACAAGATCTAAAATAAGAGACTGTTCACTTGTTGGCCAAGGAAGTCATTTTGTGATGGAAGGCCTTAGGGAGGGGCTGGTAGCTGGTGGAGAAAAGAGTCCACTGGGGAGTGAGTAAAGAAGAGTCTTTTGCTGTGAACCTGGGATGGAGAGAGACTGATCAGTAAATTTTACAGTCTGAGAATTGTTTTGACAACTCCTAGTCTGCATTTCAGAT